AAGCTATTGTGACACCAGATCTAAGTGGTGGCACTGGTCACCGTATCCACTGTTAGCGTAACACCACTTTAAGGACACTGACTGCTATTCAATCTATAACAGTGAAAAAAGTTTTTGTTTTAAATCCAACTATTGTGACACCAGATATAAGTAGGTGCTTGGTCTGCACATATCCACTGTTGAAAAAGTAACTTTTAGCTTTAAGGACACTGACTGCTATTCAATCTATAACAGTGAAAAAAGTTTTTTTTTTTAAGCCCAGCTATTGTGACACCAGATCTAATTAGTGGCACTGGTCAGCGTATCCACTGTTAGCGTAACACACCCGCTTTAAGGACACTGACTGCTATTCAATCTATAACAGTAAAAAAAGTTTTTTGTTTTTAAATCCAAGCTATTGTGAAACCAGATCTAATTAGTGGCACTTGTCAGCGTATCCACTGTTAGCGTAACACACGCTTTAAGGACACTGACTGCTATTCAATCTATAACAGTAAAAAAAGTTTTTTGTTTTTAAATCCAAGCTATTGTGACACAGGATCTAATTAGTGGCACTTGTCAGCGTATCCACTGTTAGCGTAACACACCGCTTTAAGGACACTGACTGCTATTCAATCTATAACAGTGAAAAAAGTTTTTTGTTTTTAAATCCAAGCTATTGTGTCACCAGATCTAAGTGGTGGCAGTGGTCACCGTATCCACTGTTAGCGTAACACACCCGCTTTAAGGACACTGACTGCTATTCAATCTATAACAGTGAAAAAAGTTTTTTGTTTTTAAATGCAAGCTATTGTGACACCAGATATAAGTGGTGGCACTGACTGGGAAATGGGCACAGTATCCACTGTGAGCCTGACACAGAAGCTGGCAGCAGTGGCAGACAACTGACTGCTATTCAATCTATAACAGTGAAAAAAGTTTTTTGTTTTTAAATCCAAGCTATTGTGACACCAGATATAAGTGGTGGCACTGACTGGGGAAATGGGCACAGTATCCACTGTGAGCCTGACACAGAAGCTGGCAGCAGTGGCAGACAACTGACTGCTATTCAATCTCTAACAGTGAAAAAAGTTTTTTGTTTTTAAATCCAAGCTATTGTGACACCAGATGTAAGTGGTGGCACTGACTGGGGAGATGGGCACAGTATGCACTGTGAGCCTGACACAGAAGCTGGCAGCAGTGGCAGACAACTAAGTGCAATTACACTACATAGAAAAAAAAATAAAAAAAAGCATACCCTAACCCTAACCTATCTACCCCTA